GTTAAACAATTTACTAGAGGAGAGGTAACACCGTGCGTCCATTGATTGGCTTCAAACACGATAAAACAACAAAAAAGATTACGAAAAAAACGTATTGGAAAGTACTTAGAAAAATGAGTTGATTCCTTCTCACCTGGAGTTCACTCACACCCTGCCGATACCTGAAAAAGCGTTGAATTAAAAAACCGTACGGAAATATCAGTACCGAAATTAAAGCAACAACATAACTAAGAGGGTGAAAATATTCGCCGCGAAACGAACATGGCATTACCGGACACCTGATGCTGTTAGATGATAAATTCTCAACCTGGATCCCTCGCTCAACAACTGCATGACTTCTTCGCTCGGTCGCCAAATGTTCAAGACAGCATCTGTAATGGTCAGATGGAATTAAAAACTTGAATACCCTTGTGACCTCAGGAAAGTAAGAGCGGGATGAGGTTAGGGTATTTCATTTTTAGGAAGTCTGACAGCCCCTATTTGTAGGTCGCCGTCGCCTACAATTTAGTTCCCGCTTAGGTTAAGATAACAGTGAGAGATGAACGCGAAAGGGTAGCGGCCTACGCGGGAAGTGAGCGTGGATTGACCAAAGAGTCCATGCTTGCTTCAATTCGTACCTCAAACGGGAGCTTGTTTACTGGGAAGGTCGTCGAAATTGATGAAAATCCTACTGGTCAAGACTGATCATGAACGAGAGTAAGGCAAGGATACCACATACACCTCGAGAATGCTGAGAATACAGTGGGTGGTCAACTGATACCCGGCAATGGGTGCAGTTTTGAGAGAGTTTAAGTAACCATGCAGATAATGGCGACGGAAATCATTGGAGTATCGTCCGCTAGAACTGCATAAACCTTACACCAAAAACGGTAGAACACTAAAACGTTTTGCCGTGAACAATTGAAGTTCCATCTTTAATCTATTTATTCATTCATTTATTTCTTGGTTGATTTGTTTGTTCCTATCAATTTTTGCTTATTTTGAGACTCATTGAGAGGAAACACTCATGTAGTGGTTTCAGCTTCCTCCCACCCCTCCTGCTTCAAAGAAATATCACTTACGTTGCCTTTCCCGACCTTTGAGCAAGTAGTCAGCAATCCGAACTTTGAGCAGAGGCACCACATTTCTTTGGGGCTGGTGCTGAGGAGAGCGACAAATAACACAAGCTGTTAGTGCAAACAACAGAACAACAGAAAAAATTCTTTTCAGGCTTTATTTTCACTACTACTTGAGTAGTGTTCATAACTGCGAGGATGGCTTCCATATGTGTTTCAAGATGTTATATTCGTGTCTATAATAACTGGTTACATTTCACATTCAGATAAATCACAATATAAATAATGTCCGGTAAAAATTGATGACAACGACGGCCGATGGACCCACATAGCAACCGACGAACGAAGGGACGCACGAATGCCACTGGCAATTAGCACTGGTATTACCGCCGGATTTTATCTTCATTCGTTGTAGCCAGCTAATTCTAGAATTTGTTGAGTTGATCTTTTGAGCCGGAGGAATACCAGAGGATATGATGAACAAATGGCACGAAACCATCGGGAAAAGAAAAAAAGAACACAAGGAACAAAGGTAAAGATGTTGCATCAAAACAATGCATGAATTACCTCCTCTTCCTGTTCCTTCCAAGTGCGTTCAAACTTGCTCTGTAATTCAGCGAATTTCTTCTCTTGTGATGCACGCTGGTATTCCTCTAGAGCTCGCATTTGGCGTTCATCGAGGCACTCCTTGATAAAAATCACGACAGACAGTTAGAGACAATTTATTTTAATTGCTGTCTCCAGCGGCTGTAAAATTCGATGAACGATAAGTGAACAGGTTCATCAGGTTCGGGACTGATTGTTATCCTCAAAATCAAGGAAAAATTTTAACTTTGAAGGCTCTCATCTGAGTTTTGTAAGACTAAATCTAGAGTAATGGCACAAAGGGAAAACAAACGACAACAAAAGTAACAAAGAAATCATCACGGAAGGCAAATAGGATGCAAATGCGCAAGTCGCGATTGGTTTTAGTTTTAAATCGGATTGATTGAGAGGATGGAACAAGTTTTGTGGACCAATCCAGACCTAATTGAGACAAAACAGGCAGCGAAATATCAAATTTCCTTTAGACACTCAGCTAGAAAAAGCATAAGCTATCATCTTCCTCCCTGAATAAACAATTCTGTTATTTCTTGAGTGTTTTTTCTCTTCTTATACTGCTGGACAAAGGCCATATGATCATCTTGTTGCGCCCTTTGTCATGATAGGCACCAGCGATGGCACATTTCAAAGAAACACACCAAGTACTGTAACTTTTAGCATTACAAACGAGCGAGAGTAATACTAACTTTCACTGCATCCGGGTCCGTGGCTTGTGTAAGAGCTTCGTAAATCTCTTTCCCACCATGCAAGTCTTTCAAATCACGTGGTAAAAACGAACGGCGACGAAATCTTGCTGATCTTCTCCTTTCTCTCTCTACAATAAAAAGGCAAGGAGAGTCCTTCAGCAAACTTTCACTTTCTTTCTATTCTGATTGTTTTTTGATTCTATGCATTTCTTTACTGACAGGTCTACAGATTTATTGCCAATAGAACTGATTTTCCAACAATCATCACGATCACGCACCTGGCTCCAGGCATTCCCTTTCAAACTCTTCTTGTATTTTGATAAACAACTTTTCCCTTCGTTGATGACGATCCGCTTCAAACTTTTTGGCCTCTCTCTCCTCGAGGCGAGAATTGCGGAACACGTTGGTTCCATCAGGCATCTTTTCCATCCACTGCAAAAAAATAAATCGCAATAGCTGTAAGATAAACTGGTGAAACACACTTACAGCAAGAAGGGCACTGTGAAACTAAAGCGTTTTGCCCAAAAACTCAACTTAAGGACTGGATTACAAACTTAAACTTTTTGTTTTCAAGGAAGCACGCACCCTACTTTACATTTACTTATTGGAAATTGTATAAGGAAATACATATAGCCATTTTAAGAAGGAACCAGGATTATTAAGGAAGGTTAATGATGGAGACGATTTTAACTGCAGGATCACATGTTCACGATGCAGAAGCTGTGAAGTAGTAAGCTCACTTATGCTTCTTATTAGTCAAGAAAGTGTCAGTTACCTGAACAGGATATTGTCTCAAAACTATAATATCTACACATCCTGCAAATCCACCATCGCCAAACAAAGAGGAAAGCAGTAACGGAAACGCATGCGTATGATGATGAAATCCGAGTTTCACATCCCATCGTGCACGCCGAGTTGAGTTAGCATGCAGCCGTAACATCAACGTTGAAGGAGCCTACAACAAAACCGAACCAATCAATGTTTTGATCTAAGAAATGCGAGGATGATAAGCCAGTGTAAGCAAATGAAAAGCATGAAAATTAAAGTTGAATTTCTAAGACAAGCATTTTCATCTTGGGCGTCCACAGTCAAGAAGAAACACGTTACAATGTACCTATGTACCTCTAGAGGGGAGACAGCCTGTTCGGATCCTACTAATTCAGCGCCACAAACAATCAGCTTTTGACCCACAACAATCTTCTTATCATGTAGCAGCCTGGTAAGCGGTTTGTCCAATATTGCTCGGATGCTGTACCAGTCATCAGTAACCTCAATGACAGCACAACTCTGAAATGATAGTTATAAAAACATGTTATTCAGCCTCTAAACAGACGGAGAAACTGTGGCTTTAAGGAGAGCGCACCGATTACAAGATCGAAAGTTCCGTGGTTACTGTGTAATGTTGTTGAGAAAGAAATTTTACTAGTATATACTAGTAAAATACTACTAGTCATATCAACCCACAAACTGGTGCCAGCAAACTGTCTCGGAGACCTGAAGAAGTGCTGGGTGGTGCGAGGGGAGTATACACAGAGTGTTATGGTCTAGAAGCCCATCCACACACCCCACCCCCCCCCCACCCCCACCCCTAACCCGGCAAGCATTCCTGGATCCATCCTGGAGTAGCAAAACCCCCTAGTCACTTCTATCAAAGATAAGGATGAGGAGTTCTACCTTTTAAACAATCGAAAATAAAGGAGGTAAGCAGTATAAAACTGTAATAACGTCACTCTGACTAACCCCCATTTTCATCCTACTCTGGCCATCTTTTTCGCCTTGGTCATCACTCTGTTCTGATGCGTTTTTCTCCTTGTCCTCTTGCGTTACTGTGACGCTTGATACACAAAGTACCATTGTGCGACTAGACACATCATCGCGCTCCGTGATTTTCTTCAGTGCAGATCTGTATAATCAAGATGTTGGCCAAGTTTTAGTTCTAGGTGGCTACTTTAAGAATTGGCTTAGTTCTTTCTCGGCTCTCTTTTGATAATTAATATTTTGGTGCACGTTTTCGTGGACTTAAAAACAACAATCCTGACTAAACAGGCTCAACAAATGAATATTACAGGTAAATCAGAGTGTAACAAAATAAGTTCACGAAACTCTCCCTTGTTTGCTCTGCTGACTGTTGTAAAGACTTGACTCAACCACAAACCTTGTTAGGAAAAATGTCCGAACGTTTGTACGTCGGCCACAAACATTAACATTAATGTTGTTTTGTCGTTGTTATTTTTGTGGGTTTTTTGTCTTGTTTTTGTTTCCTTTTAGTGTTATTATTTTTTTCTATTTATTTAATTTTTTAATAGTATTGCCTGAGAGTTTGTTTGTTTGTTTGTTTGATTACATTTTCTGCACGGGCAAAGCGAGAAACACCGACCCGGCAAAAAGAGCCCTTCCCGTACAACCATTCAGAACAGTCTGATAATAGTCTTTAACCCGACTAAGTCGACTCCACGTTACCTTTCACTGCCATCAATTTCCCTGTCATATCTGTACTTGAGTTGACACAGAAGCCAATCTGGTGTTAAGCACCTGGAAACACAAAGACAACACTTATATTGAGTCAAGAAGCAAAATTGGAAAGTGAAATTTGAAGGAGAAGAATTATGAAACCGACCTTTTTCGGAAAAAAAACATACTGCACATAATCGCGCGTGAGCCGTGTTTAAATAAGACTCCAATTTTATTCTACAGGGTACATACGAAATGGATAATTAATTCAATTTGTTGAGAAAGCACCACTTTACCGATTTTTAATAAAACACTCATTGGTGGCAGCTTGTGTGTCTCTTGACGTTGTTATAGTTACTGTGAACTCTTTTTACTTTTAAGAGACTCGTGTACAAATTAGAGTCAAAAGAGTAATTTATAAGCGAAACAAAAGCTTGCCTGCCAGCAAAATGATGCGGAAAAGCAGCTTCCATTGCAGCGAGTTTCCAGACGAGCCATCTGTAATGATTAGCAATCCACTCCTTACTAATCAGCTGACTGTCCACGCCTGGTGTGGTTAAGAACGCACTAACGAAGTAAAAATACGATTTTAATTGAGCTAAGTCTATCCCCATCCTCTGTCAGTGACATGAAACGTCTAGAAATATTGCTCCTCTCCACGAACAGGATGCTAGTTGCTGCGTTTACCACCTAGCATTTCATCAGGTTTCCCTGGACGTTCATAGTACCCATTCCTACTCCTGAGTGAAAAGAGAAACTTTCGAGCACAGTGGCATATCACATTGACTTGCCCAGGGCTCGAACCCACGCCTTTCTATCCGGGGTCGAACACACCCAATTATAAGACAGTACTTTCACCACAGGTATTTGTAGATTTGCAGCACTAGCTGCCTCATTACCGAGTAGATTGGTTATTTGTAAAAGCGTCGCGCGAAGAGAATATCAAATTGGCCGAATGTTTGTCACAAACCAAATCTTTTTTTTAAAGTTATTTTATTTTGTTATTTTCTTTTATAAATACCTCTGTATTTCTTCCAGACCGGCGCAGTGATCACTCCCGACAAGCATCACACCTCCATCCTCAGTCCGAACACCTCCGCCGTTGGACAAAGCAGTTTCACTGAAGTACCTCCTCCCACAGAACCGAAATGATACTGCGTTCGTGGAGGTAACAGAAATCACCTCTGGAAACACACCGATCTGAAGCAACTGAGGTCGAAAAACAAAAAGATAAGAGATTTCTCAAATCTTTGTTATTGTACACGCTTTGTCTGAGGTAAAAAGAGTCTTGGATAATACGAATCGATCTGTCTCGAAGGACGATAATTCCTCGGTCAGTTTTAAAAAGATGATGTTTTGGTAAGTTCTCTTAGCTTGTTTATGTTCTTTTTCCTTGTTTTATTCTGTCATTAATGAACAAAAGCAGTGGAGGTATAGTTGGAATCTCACCTCTGCAGCAGTGTATCTCCCTGGAAGTGTGCTGCTCCCAACATAATCCTTGAGCTTTATCCGTTTATTGTGGCGGCGCAGTCCAGATAAGAAACCAAGCCGCGGTTTAAGTCCCTCTTTGCTCTGAAAGAATGATACCTTACGATCAGATTTACTTAAAAAATCATAAATTAGTGAAGAGGTTACCGAAAACCTACTCAAGATCATTGAAAGTAAAAACTAAGAAAAACGGCAATAACAACGGAGGTCTAGCGACTTTATTCAACGCCAAGAGTTCACTAAGTAATACGATAAAAGTTTTTCAAAAACTCAAGGGAAACCTGTGCATAAATAGAATATTCAAGCTTTAATTAAACTCTCGCCGGTTAGTTGTAAATAATGCTACGCTCACAAAGTTCACCTATCAACGACCACAATAGAGAGTGACCTCTGAATTGAGTACAAGATATTACTCCTTCCCTCCAAAAGTAAATAAATAATGATAAAAATAATCATAATAATGTAAAACATAATATCCATAACAATAATTAAAAAACCGGTGTGGCCGTATGATAGTGAAGATGGCTACTGTTGTGCAAAAGCGCTCCTTGCGCGAGCACCTGACCAAAGATCTCACCATCTGACCCCACCAGTGCTTGACCTACAACAACTTGTATCAGACTAACCTTAGATGAAGTCTCAGGCTGACCATATTTAATCACAGATGAACAATTTCGTGATGAAAGTTTTGCTTTCTTTGAGCTTGGTTCCATCAAATCCGTTATGTGGGGCTTTGGAGACTCACTCACTGGAAAAGAAGAGCTGCTACAACGGGCGAGGGGAGAGACAACCGTTGACACTTCTCGGTTTCTGTAAGGCGTGATGAAAAGTGGACGAGGGGCAGACGTACGATGCATTACGTTGGAATTTAAAGGGGTGCTAGTTCTTGGTGAAGGAATATGTTTGGTTTTGAAGCAGCCAGGGGTTGTGGCTTGCAACGGGTTCAACGAGCGAGTGCTGTCTGATCCTCTGAAAATACAGGAGCAAGTAATAATATCAAGGTTACTACACCTGGTAAACATGCAACTTCACGCAAAAACGTTCCAGTGGGAGAAATGACACGGGTAAATCTTTAGCAAACAATGGCGAAAAGCTGGTGTTTCAAAACATTGGCGCTTAACTTAGCTTTGACAACACGGAGTTGTTGCGACCCTCCTTTAATGGGGTGGTTCGGCAAGTATGCGTTGAAGAGAGGATATAGAGGTGCTATATCATGACCACGCCACAAAATGACGCATGCAATCGCTCCACCTTTCAAGAAATATTACAAAGTCCTAATTCGATATCCAGTTGTTGTAAAGGAGTGAATTACAATTCAGGAAATGATCAAGAGAAATTCATTTTAGCCAAGTGCATGGACCGAAGCTGACTTGAAAGTGCTAGCACGATTACCCTCAGAATTGTGCAGCACGAGTTCCTAAGTGAAGCAATTTTCAAATGAGTGTCGAAAGGATTGCATCTGTTTTGCTTCAGTACGCTTGGTAACTGGTCGAGAAAATTCTCACCATATGACAACAAGTCATATGCAAAACTAACACTAATCACAAACAAGTCACCGGTGTTCATCGTGTGCTTGTTTCTACTTCGAGTTCTCATCCACAGATATTTTCCTGTCTTCTGATTGGCCTATTTGATTACTATGGTTTTCGTTATACGACATTCAATTGTTCACTCAGGCACAGTCTCCTGTACCTCCCGCGTTTTTCTTATTGAAACAGTTATATCCTTTATACCTTGGTGTAAACGTGTTTTCGACTGTGGCCAGACGCGCCCGCAAAGGAGCATGAAGGTGTACCCTCCGATCATGGAAAACACCTGACCAAAATAGAAATTGAAAAGGGAAAATAGTTAACCACAGAGAGAAAAAGAGAATTGAGAACAGCCAAAGAAATGCGCTAACATAACAGGTTGTAAGAATAGGTATGCCTGAAGGGTTTTAACTAAAGTCAAGAAAATACCTGATGGTGTTGTTGAACAAGGTTTCAATCCACTCCGAGTTTCTTTATGATTTCTGTTTACCATGTCTTCGCCACACCTTTGCTGTTACAGCGTAAAGAAAAAAAAGTTAAGAATACAAAAAGGTTCGCACTTCAGTAATTTTCATAGATAGATTAAAAGAATACAAGCTTAAATCGCCGAAATTACATTAAGATAAGCATGGAAAGCCAACTGTTTGGAACTTTTCCTGTGCTGATCGTTTGCTCCTCAAGAAATGAATGAACTCTGATTAAATGAACAAAAACAGAACATATGAAACGAACAAAATCACTTTTTACTCAAAAAGCGTCTCTAAGCTTAATAAGGCATCGTTATATGTCCTTCTAAACAAAGATCGAGCACGATATCGCTCATATTTTCTACGTACATAGCTGTCTGAAGACATGTACTCATGCGTGTAGTGGAGAAACAACCGAATAACATCACTTACTGGTGTTGAGTGGCGTCTTTGAAAGTCTTCCTTAGAATCAGAAGACAACCCTGTGTATAGCAAAAATAGGAGAGCAGTTGAATAATTTTCATCCGGTCCCACCTCATTTTCCAACAATTATCGTTCAGAGATCCTATATTTTTCCTAATCAAAAGTAAAAAAATTCTCTAAAGTGATTGGTTATCACCAGCCCGATTTGAGCACTAATAGGATTAAGTTAACTGTTGTCGTTTTTCTTTATGAAAACGTATAACAGACGTCTATTTTCTATCTCAATTTTTGTTATAGTTTTGACTAATTGATAACAGAACTTCGTGTCGTGTCGAAGGAAAATAGAACATGAGGTTTGTAACAAGCCACAAATTCGTTTACCTTTAGCACTTCTTGTCATTGAAACTGGACTTGTTCTCAATGAGTCCCATGCAATAGTAACCTTGTCGTATTCTGATACATCCAGAGAAGATTCATACGCCAGAAGGGCTTCAGAACTTTCGAGAATCTCACGGGACACCGCATCATCTTGTTCATTTGAGCAGCGTCCGTCACGTGAAGGCGTGGAACTTCCAAGAAACATCGCAGGTACAAGGTGACCGTCGCTGATTGCACTATCTGTATCTTGATTAAGCAGTTTCCATTTGTCCATTCCTTTAAATGAGGAGTCATTTAATACTCCCTCTGTTCCTGTCCTAGATTTTTTAACATCATTCTCAATGCTAGCTATAGTGTCTTTTGCCTTTGCGAGTGCTGATTCCGAGATCTGTACCGTTTTACCATTTGCGGTTTGAAAACCAGAAAAACCTGAAGCACTGGATACGTTTGCGCTGCATTCAGAAAAACAATTTGTGGACTCACTGCCGTCTATGTTTCTCGGAAGAGGTTGATCAACCTTCTCTTTGTCTCTGTGAATAAAATTGTCAATCTCTTGCATTACAACCGTTCCTTTCTTCATCGACTCCACAGATAGTTTTACTTTCTGGCCACCGGCAGTTTGGAAATCAGAAAAGCCAGTTGACGGTGCAGTGGTCTCCTTGTTTCGATGAATGGAATCGTCTATCTGCTGCATTATGGCCGCCCCTTTTTCCACTGACTCCTTAGATAGCTTCACTTTTTGGCCACTGGCGGTTTGAAAACCAGAAAAGGCATTTGGAGGTGCAGTAGTCTCCATGTTTTGCTGTAGAGAATTATCAATCTGCTGCATTATTGCCGCTCCTTTCTTCAGTGACTCCGCAGATATATTCACTTGCTGTCCACTAGCAGTATGGAAACCAGAAAAGGCGTTTGGAGGTGCAATGGTGTCCCTGTTATGCTTAATGGAATTGTCAATCTGCTGCATTATGGCTGCCCCTTTCTCCATTGACTCCTCAGATAGTTTCACTTTATGGCCACTAGCAGTTTGAAAAGCAGAAAACGCATTTGGTGGTGCAGTAGTCTCTCTGTTGCCCTGAACAGAATTATCAATCTGCTGTAATATGGCCGCGCCCTTCTCCATTGACTCCGCAGATATTTCAACTCGCTGCCCACTAGCAGTTTGGAAACCAGAAAGCGCATTTGGTGGTACAGTGGTCTCCCTGTTGCCCTGAACAGAATTATCAATCCGCTGTATTATGGCCGCTCCTTTCTCCATTGACTCCGCAGATATTTCCACTCGCTGCCCACGGGCAGTTTGGAAACCAGAAAAGGCATTTGGTTGTGCAGTGGTCTCCCTGTTGCCCTGAATAGAATTATCAATCTGCTGTATTATGGCCGCTCCTTTCTCCATTGACTCCGCAGATATTTTCACTCGCTGCCCACTTGCAGTTTTGAAACCAGAAAAGGCATTTGGCGGTGCAGTGGTCTCACTGTTTTGCTGAATGGAATTGTCACTCTGGTGCACTATGGCCGCCCCTTTCTCCATTGACTCCTCAGATAGTTTCACTTTATGGCCACTAGCAGTTTGGAAACCAGAAAAGGAATTTGCTGGTGCAGTAGTGTCCCTGTTTTGCTGAAGGGAATTATTAATCTGCTGTGTTATGGCCGCACCTTTCTCCGTTGACTCCGCAGATAGTTTCATCAGCTGGCCACTTGCAGTTTGGAGACCAGAAGAGGCATGTGGTGGTGCAGTGACCTCCCTGTTTTGCTGAAGGGAATTATCAATCTGCTGCATTATGACCGCTCCTCTCTCCATTGACTCCGCAGATAGTTTCACCAGCTGGCCACTGGCAGTTTGGAAACCAGAAAAGGCAGTTGGAGGGGCAATGCGTTCCCCGCTTTGCATCTCTGTGCAGAGTTCAGCGGTTTCCTTCGAGACAGAGATAGACTTATCAATTGCAAATTCAGGGAGAATTTCTTTTAAAACATTTCCATTGCACTCTAAGGAGTATTTTTCATTACAATGCTTATGTCTCACATCACAAGAGTTGTTGACTGCACTTTTCGTGTTAAGTTCACGCTCCTCCACTTTGTCGCTCTCCCCGCTGATAGCGATCAAGGAGTCTCGTCTTTTGCGCTTGAAGTCATTCAACAAGTCTTCAAGTAACGAATCATTTACATTTTCAAAATGTTTATGTACAGAATCACCCACGACGTACGCGGGACTCTGCAAAGTTAGGTCCTTAGTTTCTGTTTCACCAGCACGTATTGTAGAAAAATTCTTCTTTGAGTGGTCCTTCAGAAGCACATTTTCACGTTTTTCCTCAATCAGTAAGAACGCGGCTGAAGCAAAATCAGGATCATCATTCCCATTGACAGGTGCTTCAGTCACAGAACTAGAGAACGAGGCAATCCTGTGAGGTTCAGTGCAACACTTTTCTTGGAGACGAGGTTCATCACTTTTTGCTTTCTTTAAAAGAGGAATTTCTTCTTTATTACCAAAATCGTAATCGATGTTATCAGCTGGAGCGAGCTGGTTCACTGGAGCTCCTTCCCCTCTTTCCATAAGGAAATATGGCTCCTTCTCTGACTTTTTAATTCCCTCGTCATAAACAATATCTTTCATATCGATGTCAACTCCACTTAGGGTTTTCCTTGCTTTCTGCATTGCAGATTGAGATATATGAATTTGGTCGCCGCTAGCAGTCGAAAACCCACAAAATCCAGGCGGCACAGACGATTGTACTATCTCAAAACCAGAAAGGTTTTCGTCGCTTGCGATAGTCTCACCAACTCTCTGCGGCAAGCTTATATCCTTTAAGCAAGAGGTGACGCCATTATTTTGTGTTGCGTTACATGACATACTAATCTCAGGCTGTAAATGTCGTTTTACTTGCTTATCATCACCCTCACACAAACCTAACAATTCGTCAATCTCTTTAACGGTAGCTTTCGCTTTCTCCAAAGCTTCGGAGGATACCGACACGTGTTTTCCACTTGCTGTTTTGAAACCTTCAAAGCCTGAAATAGTTCCATTCGTGACGGACGTAACATTGTCATACTCGCTCGTAACGTAAACATCTTTCGTTTCGGGAGAAAATCTTCCGAAATATTGACAATTGTCGGTTTGTATAGGTAAAAACTCGCTGATCTGAGGTCTGTGCAACGCGGTTATTTTAAATTTCCCTGCCTTGATGGAATTATTTTCCCAGATTTGGTTATCCTCTCCAAACATCTCGTCCGCCATCGATGGGTACTTGTGCTCATCAAGCGGGGCTACAGCACTACTTTGTGATGCATCCGAAATCTTTCTTGTGTTCCCATTAACAGGCTCTAATTCTGCCTTCTCTGTAGGCCACAATAAGGGCTCATTGTTGCCATCACAACAAACAAGCTTTCCTGTCTTCACGCTTTCTGTCACGTCCTCTTTTTCTAGGTGCGCTCTCGACGCCCCCGGTGGAGGAGAACAAATGGATTCCATTGGAAATTGAGTGAGGGCATCCATGTCATAAAGGACATCGTCTTTTTCCTTGCTATTCACAGTGGGAGATGATTTCAAAGCGTTATCACCTTTGCAAAACGCACTCATTTCCTCAAACTTAAGTTTTTCCGAAAGAGGCAGTTCAATATTACCATCACAGCTGTTGAGGGTGGTATAAGAGGCTATATCTCCATGCGTTTCACAGTTCACTGAACCTTTTGCTTCTTTAATCCTAGGATTTTCCTCTTTGGCAGGTAGTGAAAAATCATCATTTGTAACAGATCTTCTAGCACTCTTTTTTATGTGATGTTCAGCAACTTGACTCGCTGAGGGATAAGAGAATCGTTTTGTTCGAGCTGAGCGACGAATTCCGGGTACTTTGCAGAATGACCTTTTTCTTAAGTAGTTACCATGACCATGCAATGATCCACCGGTAGTCTCACCAGATATGGTGATATTGTTTTCACCCAGATTTTGCAATGTGTTTCCATTTCTTGGGATTTGAGCAGTCTCTTGGATGTAATTGGTTGGCTGGGAGACAGTGCTATTAATCAATTCATCGTCAGTGTTCTGTGACTGAGGGTTTAAACTCACGGACAATGATGAACCTATAAGAACAAGTAGCCACTATGAAAAAAACTGTTAAATTCGGTTAAAATTATAAACTAAGAGGTGGCGAACAATTTTTGGGAATCAACGGTATAAAAATGATATTTTTTTTTCCTTTAACTATGTTCCTTACGCACACTAGACTAACCCCATCTATGGGGCGGTGATTGAGGCATTGAAGTTGCCAAAGGAAGGCGGGAAGGGGTTAGCTATAATTCAAAATGAGCAAGTGCGAAGAAAACTGAAGCCTTCTCTAGGTAATTACTCAGAAGAAAGTGTATCAACTGATATATTTATAGTCAAAAACTGGCAGCCTCGTTCCTGTCTTTTACGTCAAACCCAAGCAATAAAAGGGCTTCGACGTCTTGCTAGCAGGAGTAACACTTTAAGTCGTGTACCTTGGTTTACATTTCAAAATCTGCGTTTTTAAGATTTGCCATGTCCATTTGCCACGCCTCACACTAATGCATTACAATAGTATTGTGTGAAATAAAAACGTAAAGAAGTGACAGAAAAGGACGTTATGACCTGGTGCTGCCCAAGAAATTGTACAAGTTCAAGGGAATTAGGTCGAAATATTTTCTTAGTGTTGGTTGAGTCGTTGAAAATTACAAATTATAAAAAGGAGACTTTTACGTAACAGGTTTCCGGAGTAGACGAAGGGTAAAGAAAAAATACTACTGAGGAAGGAGGATGGTTAACAGAGATGGAGCTCGAAAGGTCTATACCGAGCCTCTAGTCAGCTTGGCAAGCACGCACTACTCATGACCACTTCTTATGGTCTGCTTTAGACAGTTTTGTTTGACATCATACAAGCTTCGTAGATATGAATAACCGAATAACCTAAAATAATTTTTAATCTATGTCAATGTTTTCTCCAAAAAAAAGTGCACCAAAAAAGATAAAAACCAAAACCAAAAAAAGAGAATAAATAAGAGAAGCATAGAAAATATAAAAAAAAAAACAGAGCTGATCTAATTGTTTTTACAAGTTGACTCACATTTCAATGTTTTGTTTAAACCTCTCAGCTTAAGTTCAACCAATTAGGCATAAAGACGTTTACAGAGAAAACTGTCTACCGTCGCCATGCAGGATATTTACATTAATAACACATAAAATACACCTAATCATAAAGCCTGCAAGCGGAAACAGATGTTCGCCGTCGCTGGAGTGTAAACCACACAGAGATAAGTTTTTTCGGGTGATCGGCGTATTTATCATCATAGTCATGACTCATCAAGCGTCCGTATGCTTGTTACTTGCTGTAGTGCTGTTTTCAACATTTTGTGCTGAATCTCGACGTTTAAGGCTTTTGCCAGGCGAAGGTAAGGGCGGGGTATTTTAAAAGCTTTATTTGCTGCTTAGCAAAACCGCGTTCAAGACACAAAGGCTCATAGATAACGCTGGAAATACATTTCTTTTTCTTTTTCGGTTAAAAAAAAAAGCACAAAGAGCAAATTCGCGGTCCATCGACTGCCTTCTTTTAAATTACCGATCTTAAGAGTTCACATCATCATCGCAGAGACTACAACGCCATGAAACTCAATGGTCCGTTTATCTTTGATGTCAAATTTGTCAACATCGATTTACGGAATTTTTTTTTTCCTTTTTCATTAAAACGGGTTTCATCTAAGCCATTACCGTTTCACGGAAATTTCCCATGCAGTTTCTTTACCAAGCACTATATTTTTGAGTCGCATTTTTACATCTGCCTCATAAATAGCTTGAGAATATTTATATTATAAACGGTAATGTAAGCAGAACTGTTTTAAGTTCAAAGCTTACTTCCAGTATTTTGAGCAAATTCGACAACAGTGAGGCTAGTTTTGAAATAAGAGAGAAATCTCTCCACCAAATACAATACTTGTTTTTTCTCCTCGTTTGATAAATTCAAGAAATTGCCTTCCGCGTGAAGAATATTCATCACGTCATGGACGTTAAACAATCAATTTAAAAAAACTGATCATAGCTTTATAGGTACGGGAACAAATGCCCTTATTTTAAATGAAAAACTGTCTGCTCAGTGGATGAATTTTCTATTACAAGAGAAAACACTGAAAGAAGGAGAAAAGAAAGCTGAGTGATGATGAAAATTATTTTCCTTTCAATAATAAAACAATAAAAACTTTCAGTTCATCGACATATATATTAGATTTCGAATCCAGCAGAAATTTGCATTTCAAATGTCTTGGTTTTTCAAGCGACTACTAGTAGTAGACAACATCAGAGTGTAGCTCGAGGCGTGCTGTGGTGATTGGCGCCTTATGCACCTGTTGATTTACCACGTTATAACTTTCAAAAAAAAATGCACCGATATAAAAAGGGATGAATGGTCAACTTTTAAGCGTGAAAGAGTTCACTGAAAGCTTCTGCTTTAAAAAGGCCATTTGTGATACCATCTTTTTCTTACAAATAAAATAGAACTGACCAGAGGTTAATACAAGTGCATCGATACATCTCATTTTCAAAGCGTAATTGTGACATTAAAGAATTTTCAAATCGAGCCAATGTCGACAAAGGGTAATTGTTTGGCAGTTTTTCGCTCTGTAGATACTATTTCGTCTTAAATATGTCATTTTGGAACTCTGCCGGCTACGCTAAACTTTGTCCATAGTCAAGGAAAAGTATTATTTTGAAGCTGCTCTTCTTCAAATGAAAGACAAGAACCACTGCCTTTCAGTATTACTAACTGAAGTAGGAAATAAAGAGCTATACCGGTAGAAATGTTTGGGTTGCAGCTTTAAGAACGAAGTAACTCGAATTATTCTCGATTACAATGCTTGTGCTTTCGAGAGCATCAAAGATTGAATATGTATCCAACAAACACATAGCCAACTTGACATTGTGCGAGCAGCGATGTTCACAAATGATAACGTTACAAAAAGAAGAAGAAGAAACTCAATTTTAAAAAAGTGAAGTTCTTAAAGTAAATATCCGTTATTTACCGGGTGGGAGGTCAGTATGGGAAAAAGCTCTGCTCAAGTTCAAGAGGCTGAAGGCAAGGGCTGCACTCAAGAACAACCGGAGTGGCCTCAACTGAAAAATAACTTACTTTTTCAGCTAGTTTGCTTTTCTTCCGTTTCGCCAAGAATGGCGCGGGGCTGAGGGGAATTGGGAATTTTATTTTTCTCAAGTTCCACTCTTCTTTCCCCTCTTTCCTTCGCTTCCCCCTGACTTACCAAGAACTTGGAAAGGCTGCTAAAGTCAAACTGTTTCATCACTCGTCTCATTTTAAGGGGTCATCCAGTATCAAGCTTTAGGCAACCAAACCAAGCCCAACTTTTTCAAGTCATGATCGGCTCTATGGAAATCCACTAAAATAGCCGATGAATTAATTTGCCACAACAGTTTTGAATATTTGCATACGTTTACTTCAATTTCCTTATCCATATTTTTTAAATCAAAGATGATGAACTAAAGAAGGTTGGAGTGGATTTCATCAATTTACGTAAGTACCCTAACAAATATTAAATTTGTTAGTAAATCTTTTTGTTCTTCAAATCTTGCAAAATCGCAATTTCATCTGCTTGCATTTTTCAAATAGTACACCCTGACTTTAATTGTTGAGAACACGAGACATTTTTTCTTTGCCTTATCGAGACTCAAACAGTTCTTAACATTTTATCTTTCTCCGTAAACGTGATACGCATGTGACAGCCACGTGTGGTAAGTCCACGGTAGGAGGAAGCCGGGTAGTTGCTGGCACGGATGCTTCCTATGGCGAATGGCCCTGGCAAGCGAAGCTTCTAACCGAAGGCACCTTCACATGTGGCGGCTCGCTCATTACTCCATCATGGGTTATGACAGCTGCACATTGCATCTCAAAAGAAGATCCTAGCGTGTACAGCGTAACGCTAGGTGACCTCCACAGAGAGAAACCTGAAGGAACTGAGCAGGAGTTCCCCGTGAAAAAAGTTGTAGTTCATCCCAAATACAATTCACCAGTTGCCGTTAACAACGATATAGCCTTGCTGCAGTTGACGCGATCAGCTACAAGGACATCCTTTGTGAACACGGTATGTTTACCGGATGAGTTCGAAGTGGTGCCCATTGGAACAAAATGTTACATCTCAGGTAAAAATGGATCAAAACTATTTGTGAATATCAATTGAGAGCACCCGTAAGCGCTACTTTTTAAATTACCATTTTATTAAAAGACTCTAGTTAGTCTGCTCCCAAGCAAAGCTTGATTTGACAGGAAACCTTCCGCGTTAGGAATGCTGCGAAATGTCAAAGTTCAACCAAGATTTTATTCAAAGAAAAATAATGGAACCAAGCGGAGTTTTCTCCAACACTTGCAGCACATTGTTTTTTTTACGATATTTATTGCTCCACAAATTTCTCTTGATAAAGTTTCCATTGAGGAGAAGGTTGTGACAGGTGTTCACTGACACCCCTAATTAGAAAAAGCAAACAACCAGCGAAAATTTCTTCGATAGGTTCAACTGTTTAGATCGTATTTTTTGACAAAGGCAGATGTTAACATGTCAGGGTATCCTTCATTATAGGCTGGGGACAGATGACTCATCCAGACTCTGCTGCTATTAAACTCCAACAAGCCGCCATGCCCGTGGTGTCCAACCGCGTCTGCCAAGCCAAGCATATGGCGTCACCTGTTAGCAGACCAGGGGAGAGTGCTGTAACTTCCGCCATGATTTGTGCAGGAGATGCGGGTAAAACCAAGATCAGTGGTTGCTTCGGTGACAGCGGAGGGCCCTTCGTCTGCCAAAACTCCGCTGGGCGGTGGGTGCAGCAAGGTATTGTGAGCTGGGGGGACACCACATGTTCTTCAAAGGCTCACTTTACCGTTTTTGCTCGAGTGAGCGTGTTTCGAAAATGGATCGAGGACCAGCTCAGCGAGTAAATCGATTACGTTCTTCAAACACATTGCTTACCATGTAGTTTCTGATAAGTTAAAACTGTTACGCATTTAAAGGATAGTTTCGAATTATTAAAAGTTTGGAAAGAATAAAGTGATGTACCAGCCAACTGAGGACATCCGTTCTCTTCTTCAGCTGAAGTATCATTGAGACAAGTCATCGTAAACAAAGCAGCTCCTCAGTGTTAAAACAAGGACAGATAGGGGAGGGAAAACTTAAATTGACCGGAAAAAATTAACAAGTAACCTGTCAGTGACGAAAAAGGGTCTCTCTTTCTGTCTGATGCACTGGGGCTTTCAGCTCGTGCAGGGAGATGCACCGACCCAGTAGTTAACGCGTTGCGGCACTCAGCAGTTAGCACAGTTTCGAGTTCAAGTCCTGGCCGGGTCATCGTGTCTATTATTAGGCAAGACACTTTACCTTCACCGTGCCTCTTTCCACTACAAGAAAATCTATCAGCGATTGTTTGGGCAGGGAGGGGGAGGGAGGTATTTACCTGGGCCAAATTAGAAGAGTTAATCCTTATGGTCACATAACGTTACACGAGTGGAAACAATACGTGTAACAGTATCAACCTAATAGAGCCAAACCTGAAAAAAAAGACGTTATTCTGATATTATTGAAAGTAATCAAACGTGTCATACCTAGTCCGGAGGTGCGTGAATCTTTCTCTGCCCCAGAACACAGCTTGTCCGCCTCACGCGCCATGGCCAGTTCAAACGATCTCGATGGTGAACCGAACGAAACATCCGTATCCTCAAGTTCATGATCTAGTTCCTCAGCGTCAATTCTATCGCCTGATGCAGAGTGGACTTTCTTTTCATTCATGTCACACAATTGGTCGGGCAAATAATTGTGCATGTTTGTATCAAGGGGAAGGTTCGTGTCATGGTTCTCAGTTACGCTCTTATCATTCGTCCTGGACGTGTTTATAACTTTGGGGAGATCGCCTTTAAATGACTGCTTTGGGGTGGACTGGGCTAGTACTTGGAAAGGACTCTGACTTTTAGGTGAAAGAAAACTGTTGGGATGGGGTGAATGTATTAAGCTTGGTTTAGCAGATGGTGGAGAAAAGTACGTCATTCTAATAGCAACATCTGCATCAATTGGGCTAGGGGGCCCTTTAGCAGACAACGTAACTTTAGATACCCCTGAAAATCGTTCTGAAAGAGTTATATCACTGCGTTTTGACTCGTCGTGACAAGAATACTCCATAACAAATTCCTCTTCCGTGAGTGAGCTATCGGCTGTCTTCATTCTTGGAGTTGTTCGTAACGTTGAACCCGTAATCCTTAATGGCACCAAAGACTTATCGTCCACTTTAGCTTTGTCCAGAGAGAGTTCCATGGCTTCTAACGACTGATCCGCTAGACATCCTGAGAACAGGACACGGGCAATGCGCTGAAATATAATGCAGTGTTGTGGTAAATGACAACACGTCAGGTCTTGGTTCTCATTTATGTATTTTCCAGTGGCAGGGCTCCGAACCACCTTCCACTCAGAGACTGGGTATAAGGAGTACGTGCTTGGTTGTTTTATTAGGCTATAAATTACACTTTTTCCTTTCGGCAAGGAGGGTAATCACACAACCTTTTAAACCAACCGCTTAAACTATGCCCTAGATATTTCATGCCTAACATTTAAAGGGCCCTGGCTACTTCACGTACATACCACGCTTCTTTTTAATCACTTAGATTAGCTTTGACTCTCCGCACTGTTTCTGATGAAATATCTCCGTGTCACTTTCATTGTACTGTTTCCCCAAAAATCATTCTCGCATGATCTTATCAATACCAGGAAAATTTCGTTCGAATATCGCCGCAGAAGCAACAAAGTCATGTTAAGAAACAGGAATTGATGAAATCACCGTCTACTGCGCAGTTTGAATTTTAGCGATTGAGTATGGAGTAAATTCGAAAAATGGGAGTATGGCGAGGAACAAGATTCTTCCATTTACACTGTTCGAGTGTCATGTTTCATTCTCAGCGCTTCGTTTCTTTACTTTTTTTTTCATAACATTGAAGATCACATGGGTAACAAATGCTTCGCTGAGATATTTGCAAAGTTAATTAATATCTTTTTCTGATAGAGTTTTGCGTACCTTAGGTGGTATTTGCCCTTCTCCTCCCATCACCTTTTCATCAGTGTTCTCACCGTCTACTTGGCCATCAGATGGGTCTGTAAAATGAAAACAAGAATACGATAGAATATGAAGACAAGGCAGTGTCAAAGAAAGCTTTCTTTACAGGTCCACGTTGCAATACTCGCTTGTCTCGTGAAATGGTGAAATTGCGTGTCGCAGCATGTGGCAAGTTGGTTTGCTGACTAGAAAACTAATACCAAACCAATTAAGGCACTGCTTCTGTTCTTTATCAACTGGAAAATGATAAAAGCACTGAGCCGGTTCAGAAAATTTTGAAAAGATGGCTTTCTTAGCACTTCCTTCAAACAAAGACTCGAAACGTGGCCTTTTCAAAATCCTTTACGGCGGTTTGGTTCTGTCAAACCCCATAGGTTGAGAGCAGTTTACTTTAGATCAGAAATACACTCAAAGAGCATTTTCCAACTTTGAGGCGAATGCTTTACTTGTTGCAATTGGAGTGATAATTGTTTACTGAAAGAAAGTTAATCTGGAACTCAAGCTTTGCTGATTAATTAAACAAGACAACGCCTCAGGCTACATTACACAAGTAAGACAATTTCAGGTTTCCTTCGACCAATCAGATCATCCACCCACACAAGCCACGACAACTGAACCACGCCTGAAGCAATTGTTGGCGGGAAACGAATGGCACTCACAATTTCTAAGTTCTTTGAATAAAATAACACTAAATATTCCATTACCACACTCGAGCGTTATGGAGGAATGCCTTTATCGCAATTGTGTCAAACACGAAACTAAAAACAAGATAATGTAACGTTAGGAAAAACCCTAAATCTAGATGCATGTTTGTACTTCTACCCTAGACCCAAACGAGAGCTAGCAATTACTTCATTCTGAAGAGTTCTTACTTGAGCTAAACAGCTAACGGCAATTACAATCAATCTTCGAGTACAATTCATTCTGAAGAGTTCTTACTTGAGCTAAACAGCTAACGGCAATTACAATCAATCTTCGAGTACAATTTAAGGATGCAAGCGTGAGATATCAAAAACTTGAATCGATTGATTCCAGGGAAAAAGGAATCTGTCGTTTCAAATTCTTCAAATTTTCCAGGAGATAAGAAGGGCAATATCACTAAATCCAACTCCAAATTCCAAGAGGTAAAATTCTAAAAAAATGTGTGCGAAATAGTGTGGATAAATATAATATTTATATCTTGAGAGTGAAAAGCTGAAAGGGCAGACCGTGGAAGAACAATTGCGCAACCAATTTTCTGGGTCACGAGGCGCACGGCATGCAATCATGCAATGTGGAAAGCACTGCCGCTTTAAATTAGTTTATGCTTTAAACCAGTTCGTGGGTCTTGGAGTTAAAAATAACGAGAAACAAGTGAAGGAAGAACAAAACAAAATGCCTTGTTGCATTGCCGATTTTCGGACTATTAACAGTAACGAAGACAACCCAAGCACAGTGATCGAGAGAGATCTCCTCTCCTTAATGCCACCGCATATTTCTTTGATGCATGCCGCTTGTTAAAACTTGATGCCGCGTCACTGCTTTTATCTATTCAAAACTTTGGCGATGTTTTGACGCCAACATATAATACCCGTGCCGCAGTCTTTTATAATCAAAGAGGCTTGCGTTCTCCTTTTCTCTTCCCTGTGAGACTGAGATCTCAAAAGTAATCACTAATTCAAAAGGATAAAAACATAGGACAACCAAGACACTGTAAAAAAAATTATTTTCCATGTCATCAAGTTGGTGTGAAAAGTTGGAAATTTTAGGAACAAATTTTCAAAGTACTTAATTTGAACGGTTTTTAATCCACAACAATGGCTGCGAATGATAAATAATTCACCCGAACTAGAAGAAAAAATTAAGCAGTCACAAGTGAAGATAGAAGTAAAGATAACTCGGTTCATCTTGTGGCAGGTGTATAATTGAACTTAAAAAAAACTCAAACAATTACAGATACATTGTATTGTGCGTGATGGGAGCCAATAATTCTCTTTTTCTCGTTAATGTAGACATGGAGATTTTCAGATTTTCCTACGGGTCTCCGCGTGGAACAGCCGAGGAGTGGGGTTAAAGCGCTTTTACTGTACTTTCCTAAGATTTAATTGTGTTACTCCTCGCATAGTCAAATTTATTCCTCACTCTTATGGTGATAGCCAATCAGTCACTCTCGTTCACAGTACGAAAATTAATGTTGACCTGACTGCAAGGAGCTTGTAAATTCTTTGCAGTAAAGTTAAAAAAAAACAAAAGGCGGTAATGAGATGAATGGGTATATACTTGGATTCAATTTCCTTTTCTTTCCATTTCACACAGTATTAAGCCTACAAATGTCAAGTTACTAAGTCAACAATTTAGATCAATGCTTTGACCTTTTTTTTTTTTTTTTTTTTTTTTTTTTCCGCGTGCTTTTCATTCAATCCTGGATCCCCAACTGCGTTACAGGTGATCTCCCCGTTATTCTCTAACCGTTATGAGCAACTTCCACCGTACCTGCTTAACCGTTGATGCATTTACGGGGATTTAGATTAATTATTTCGAGTTTGTCATTTGTAATCCGTTAAGATTTTTCTCCGTTGTTTTTCATTCTTATTCCATTTTAGTTTACAATAACCTTTTTGGTTTTCCTATCTCAACATTATAAATTCAAAGGTTTTTTTTTCATGTAAAGATCTTTTCATACAGCGTCCAGTTTTGACAACGTAGCTCTTTTGAACATCAGCTGTTTGGAAATATCCGGTCGAGTTGGGAAGTTATCTTTTTTTGAGTTTATCTCCAAGATAGAGATGATAGCAATATCTTTAAAAATTCACTTCTTACTCTTTCAACAATTTAAAATTTCATAAAGGGTCTCTCGGCCATGTATATGTATAATTCATTTGAGTTCATCGAGATGATTGAGTCACGGACTTCACGAAGTGGAAAAGGATACATTAAATAAAACAGAATCATTCAAAGTATTCATGAACCGTTACTCGTGAGCAAATTAGCGGAGGTCGAAAGGATCTAGGCTGATATTTCATACACCTTACCCGTGTTATCTTCCCTGCCTTCAGCCCCGGCCCCGACCCCGACCCCGTGCGCCATAAACTGTTTACACCTCCACATCTAATTAACTATACTTCCAACATTGCTCGTTACACTAAAACAGTCCAAAATAGACAGGTCCATTAAGTTTACGTTGAAGATTAGAAATAGATATCGTGAACACTATTTTTTTTTTGCTACATCTTTGTGAGACCGTTAGCGACAGGTCATCAATAATGAATTGACCACAAGGGCGAATGACTACAAGCTACTGTTCAAAAACATGGCCAAATCAGTGCAAATTCGGTAACCACGAATGAGATAAACAAAACATTACTTAGCACATAAGCTGGTTGAGAAAGTTAAAGTGGGATCTATCGAAGGAGACAACGAACTTTATCAAGTTGATAAAAATACGGTGTTTAAGAAAGTTCTTTAACCAATAGTGGATCCACGAGAATCGGTAGCTTTTCACTGATGCATTCATAATTAATAACATCACAGTCAGAAACGAACTGCTTGAGGAAAAATATGCATTTGTATTGATGAAAATACATGTATACGGCACTTGAAAACTAATTAACACACCGGAGGTAAGATACAAAAGTCGCAAAAAGACCTCGCTAGTTTATAAAGCAAGCACTTAACTACAAATACTCACAGCTGCACATGTAAAAACTCTTAAGTAATCAAGAGAAAAATACATTCACCAGAAGAGAAACGCCGGCACAGATAACGAAACGGTTTCTGAACCGCAGAGAAGCAAAGTGGGTTCAAATGTTCGAAAGCAAGACGTATTCAACGCGCTAATTCTCGCCTGAGAGTCACGTTTTGAAAGGCTGTCTCAACATCGATCATTAACACCATAAAGGGATTTCTCCTACCTCCAGCTGGTTCTGTTGTATTCAACGGCGGAGTTGCCATCGATTCGGACCATTCTGTGATCTCGTCCTCATGACCTCCAGCTAACAGGCGCGACAGAGTGGGTTCTCTTTGGCCCTGAGGGAAAGGAGTGGGAAAAGTTAATAAGTAAAAAAAAGAGAGAGTTTACACACAATCCTACTACTGAAATAATCAACCAAGAGAAAGTCGAGACGTACTATAAATATTCGAGTTTGTTTGAGATACAAAGGCATCGACCGAGAAGCTTCTGGAAGGAACGGATGACTTGATTTTCCTTTTCCCGTACGCTTACGTTTCAACAAGGGTAAGTATTAACTGTAAATATTATCACATACTACATAGAAAGCAGATTTGCGCAGTAAGCAATGAAGGAAAGACAAAAACGCTTCCCAATAACCAGGAGTTTTCAATCCAGCTCCCTGCTGATTCAGGGCATCAAACGCATGTACTCTGTTCCGTGCTGAATACTTCATCATTTTAACTGTGTAAAGTCGGTTTAGTTCAACAACAACAAAATCTGGCAGGCATCAACGTATTTTCTTGACAGTCATAGAGAAACTACACTAAAAAAACAGCCGGTCTAAAAATATGGTCCACAATCACTTTCATCATGGCAAAAGACATACAACTGTAAATCGTTTCGATAGATTCACTTTTTTTTTCTTGGAGTTACCTATACCGCACTTTTTTTGTTTTGTCTTAGAATAAATCGCTCCGACTCTGAGAAACAAGTTGTACACAAACATAAGACAGATGTTTGACATAACAGTCCATTGGTAAAACGATTAATTGGGACTTGTGAATATGAATAAATTTCAAGAACGTAAAACGCGTGATTTCCTCTCTTATTGATCTCATTGACGGGTAAACAAAATTAGGATTATACCAGCATCGCAAAGAGCACTATGCATTTCAATTTTCACAAAAATGCATCAAATAGCTCTTCATTTACGTAATAAATAGAAAAAATCTCAGAGACAGGTAAACTAAATTAGTATTATGCCAGCGTCGCATAAAGCACTATGAATTTCAATTTTCGCCAAAATGCATCAAATAACTCTCTATTTGCGTGATAATTAGACAAAAAATTAACCCAAAACTCATGTAATTTAAATTGCTCATGACCCAAAACAAATTTTCGTAATGGTCAGTCGAATAGTTCTCGTTAGCGCTGAGAGCTTTCAAGTGACTGTTTGCATGTATACTGAATAAAGCATAAAAACAAATTTTCAGAACAACACGATCTGTAACAATCGAAAATTTTACGTTTTCCACGTATGGAAAGGAAAGGCCATGTTACTTTTCACCCCATATCATTGCAAATAATGTAAAAAACCGCAATTTGTAATTGTCATCGATAGTAATTTTTTCGAAGTTTTCCATTAACCCAAACATGGAAATTGCATACTCAATTTTACGTTAAAAAATGTAAACAAAGCTCGAATCAATTTAAAGACATCAGCGACAGGTTTATTTAATGGAGAAAATAACACGACAAACTTGCCAAAGGAGTTGAGAGGCGAAGGCGGTCGACTTAAGTGATGACGGAACTGTCAAGAAATTCTGGAAAACCCTTTCGGATCTAGTGAATAAAATAAATGTAAAGCGCATGCGCTGTGGTCTTGAAGAGCCTTTACGCATTTTTGACTCTTGAGTTTTCATGCCCCTGGAGGTATCGCATTTATATACTCTTGCAAGTTCTTGTAGCCATATTAAATACCTGTAATTATTTTGATAATAATAAAAATACAGTTTATGTTCTTGGGCATAAATATACCCAAACTCAGTTCAACCCTCACCTGGCGGCTCGAGCTAAAATGACTCTAAGTCAGGCCCAAAAATTTTTACGCCCGTAAACATAAACTGTATTTGTTTTATTACCCGACTTCACCGCACCCGCACTGTTTCTGTTTGACCTCTTTCCTCGTTCTTAACAATGGTACTTAAATGATATCATTATTTTAACTGGAAAAACTACCCAAGATGACATGCACTGAAATGTAGAATGTCCAAAAAAAAAAAAAGTATATATATATATATATATATCGATGAGCCAAAAATTAACGTCGACTTTTACCAACCATTTTAAAATGAGCATTAGACTCAACAAGTGAAGAATTTCTTGTGAAGGAATATTTTCCCAAAACATTATCAGAATGAGAGCTTGAAACTCTGCCAGTCGCAAAAAGAACAAGAGTTATAGACTTTGTCCAGCTGCAGTGTACTGATATCTTAACAGCCACGTAACAACTGAAGAATTTTGAGAAAGATGTTTTTCGTCTTGTCATGAGCGTGGGACAAATAAAAAATTCTGAGTCCCCACGAGGAATCGAAGTACCAGAATAAGAGCTTCAAACACTGCCACTCGTTCAGTGAAATGCTATGGACTTTCATAAACAATTGAAGTCTTGAAAGAGACTTAAAAATCGAGGAATTTGCCTTCAAGAAAAATTTTTACACTTAGTGCAGGTGATCAAGAATTACAATTAGATGACTTCTTGGCACTCTGCGCATGCTCATAAAGAAATTGAAATTGGCTAAGTTGTACAGTCACATGTACGTTTGGATGTGGCCAATACACCTGTAGAAAAACTAGGCAATGTTTTTAGTTAATATTTTGATTTTGTAGTTCGTTTTTCTTTATAGTAAGTTAGTTTCATGGTATGATAGGACTTCACCAAAGCAACATTTTGCAAAGACCAGAAAATTGTTCCATACTATTTTTCTTAGGAAGTTTGTCCCAAAGCCTTGCTATTGTACAAAGGATGAGACGTAATGTAAGTCCTCAAAATGTTAGGGAGGCAGTGTGGCCAAAAGGTTAGGGTGCTGGC